GTTCCAGAGATAAGCGATATTTGAAATTCGGTTTGTATGCGAGATGCCACGCCCCCTTTTCCGAAACCTACCACTTTTCGCCATAAGTACGATATTGTTAACATATGTAGCTGTTTCAATTTTCAGGAGGTTAGCAAAAGCGGTTCCAGAGATAAGCGATTGAGAATTTCAGTTTGTATTGGAAGTGCCACGCCCCGTTTTCCAATACCTATAATTTTTCGCCGTAAGTAGGGTATTTACAATTTATGCATCCGTGCCAAGTTTCAGTTCCCCAGCGTAATTGGTTTTAGAGCAGTGGTCGGAGCTTCATACCACAATTGTGTTGTAATAAATAGTCTCACTTGTGCAATTTATACTTTGAGAAAGAAAATTATATACCTTTGTGTTAGAAGTATGTATAAAAATATTTGATATTGAAAATAAATTTATTCTCTGAATATTTTCCTAAACTATAGGTTATGGGCCATCCATAAGTCATGGAAAATAATTTAATTAGTATGAATCATCAACCAGACGGAATTGGTAAGATGGCTGGTGGTACTAACGGCTTTATCATTGAAAAGCTAATACGATCAGAGAACTGGTCATCTTGGAGTTTTGCTATCAAGACGCAGCTTGAGTTGGATGAACTTTGGTCCTGCGTTGAGGGATCTGAAGCAACCCCTGCGAAGGAGCGCCAGGCGAAGTGTAGATTGATTCTTGCTGTACACAAGGATTTGTATGTTTACGTGCAGGAAGCACAAACAGCAAAAGAGGTCTTTGAAAACTTGCGGTCTTTGTTTCAAGACTCTGGACTGGATAGACGCATAGGTCTATTAAGATAGTTATGTTCCGTGCAACTGACTGATTGCAATTCTGTCGAGCATTATGTATCCGAAATTGTTTCAGCAGCGCAGAAACTAAATGGCGTTGGGTTTTCAGTTTCTGATGAATGGGTTGCATCAATTTTACTCAAGGGCTTACCGTCGGAATACAATCCGATGATTATGAGTTTAGAAAGCACCGGACGCAAAATTACTGCAGATTCAATCAAGATGAAAATTTTACGCGCCACTGGGAAGGGAGATGTCGAACTCTCAGTGCTAACTTCGAAAGGTAAAAGAACAATAATGGTAAGGCATGCGCTTTACGTACCAGATTTGGGCGCAAATCTCTTGTCTATCAGTGAGATGATCAAAAAGGAAAAGAAGATTAATTTTCATAAAAATGGGTGTACAATTCTTGACAAAGATGGTTCAGTTTTAGCTGAAGCAAATCTTATCAATGGGATGTACAAGCTTATTTTGTTGCGTGGTCAGAACGTGTTTTTATCGAAGAAATGCTTTGATTTTGAGCTATGGCATCGTCGCTTAGGCCTCCTTAATCCGCAATCAATGGACTTGATGAGAAAGGGGTGTGTTACCAGAGTTTCATATCAGCAGTCATTGCAAGCTGATTGTATTGCGTGTGCTAAAGGTAAGCATCAAAAACTAAGTTTCCCAAAGAAGGTTCGAGAGCTAAAGATATGCTCGAGGTAATATTCCGACGTATGTGGTCCAATGGAGAAGGGATCGAACGGTGGCAGTTTATATCTACTCACATTCACTGATGACTACAGCAGAAAAGTGTTTACGTATTTTATGAAGCACAAGAGTGAAGTGTTTGACAAATTTATTCAGTTCAAGTCCCTAGTGGAAAACCAAACTGGCAAAACCATAAAGTGTATCCGAACAGATAACGGCACGGAGTTTTTTAACAAGAAGATGAGTGATTTTCTGCAAACACACGGTATAGCACATCAGCTAAGTGTGCCATAAAATTCTCAACAGAACGGGTTATCGGAACGAATGAACAGGACTTTAATGGAGAAAGCAAGATGCATGATGTTCCAAGCTCAATTGCCGAAAACATATTGGGCTGAAGCCGTATCAACCGCTGCTTATTTGGTAAATAGAATTCCACACAGAATTCTAAAAAAGACACCTGAAGAAGTTTGGTCTGGAAAGAAGCCCAATTTGTCTCATGTTAGAGTATTTGGATGTGTAGCGTTAGAATATGTTCCAAATCAAAAGCGATCGAAATTGGACGAAAAAATCTGTGCAGCGCATATTCGTGGGTTACTGTGAACAGTCAAAAGGATATAGGCTATGTAATCCAAAAGTCAAAAAGATAACTATAGCGAGAGACGTAATATTTTTTGAGAGTAAGTTTTTGTCACGGGTGAAATCTGAAGTTTTACCCGAAGAAATCTGGTTTCCAATGAGGGTGCCATTGGACGATGCAACTTTGTATGGTGAAGTTGTTCCTGAGCCAGTGTTAAAGAACAGTGATGATGAGGATTCATTATTATATTCATCAATCTATGAAGATAACAATGAAGCGGGGGAAAGCACTAGCACTGAAGAAGAAGTACAGATTGAGGAAGATAGAGCCGATATGGAAGATCATCCTGCGCTACGAAGAAGCAACAGAATTGCCAAGCAAAATCTGCAGCAACAACAACAGAAAGGTTTCTCAGCTGATATCTCAAGTCAAGAAGACCCAATTTCAGTTGCAGAAGCTATGGAACGTCCTGATAATCTGCAGTGGCAAGAAGCGATGGAAAGTGAAATAAACTCTTTAAGAGCAAATGAAACCTGGTTAGAAGTAAAAAAACCAAAAGATAAAAACATTATTAAAACGAAATGGGTATTCAAAATAAAAAAGGAACCTGACAACAGCAAAAGGTATAAAGCTCGATTGGTCGTGAAGGGCTATACTCAGAAGAAAGGTATTGATTACGATGAGACATATTCTCCGGTAGTCAGGTATACTTCACTTCGATATCTAATATCACTAGCAGTTCGGTTTGACTTGGAAATTGAACAAATGGATGCAGTAACAGAATTTCTCCAGGGTGATTTATATGAAGATATTTATATTGAACACCCTGAAGGTATACGTAGTCAAAAACCAAATACTGTGCAAAAATTACGAAAAGCATTGTATGGACTAAAGCAGTCAAGTTTAGTTTGGAACTTGAAACTTGACAAAGCTTTAAAGAAAAATGGTTTAAAACAATCTACTGTTGATCCGTGTGTTTATTTCTACATAGACAAAGAAAATATAAGTTATTTAGCTATATATGTTGATGACATACTTATATTCAGCAATGATACGCA